TGAAGCCGACCCAGCCACTGTTCTTGCGTTTGGAAGCCTTTTTACTTCCCCATATAAAGGTACCGAGCTCTATATTGATATCCAAAAGGCACCGGGAGATCCAAGGATCGACTCTTTAATCAGCAAGATTGAGTTCCTTCCATTTGTCCCTGAAATTATAAACTCGGGAAAGCAGTTCGCTACTCAGACGATAAAGGCTCCTTTTCTCTGTGCACAGCTTAGGCTGCTTGACGGACAATTCAAGAACCACTGGAAAGCTACTTTTCTGGGTTTGAGACAAAAACTAGATTCGTTAAGGCAGGCGGGTTCTCAACCAATACATTTTTTTCTGATGACCGATCTCCCTCGAGGTAATTGGACCGGAAATTACTTGGGTGATTTGGCTAGGGATTCAGCGAATTTCAAGCTATATTTCCTGCAAGAAGAAGATCACTTGGTGATGAACACGGCAAAGAAACTAACACTAGCCGGACGTGGTCTTAGATTTGAATCTGTTCCTGGCAGTTTGGATGCAGCGGCTAAGGTGAAACATTGCTCTCCCGACATATTACCTGATGTACTCCTGTATATAGAGGAAACAGTTTGCAGTTGTGCTTCACTTGGTTTTGTCGGGACCGCTGGTTCAACAATAGCACAAAGTATCGAGGTTATGAGAAAATTCGGTTTATGTTCGAGTCCAGCTCGGGCTGCATTCTGACATTTATCCATTGGTAACCTACTTGATAGAATTTCACTGGTTTGCTTCATTTCCTTCTTGGAAGACATGTCTATACGTGCGCTTTTGAATTTGAAGCTTTCAGTCAGACAAACGGACGGACTAGTACACGGTGAAGCTGCTATTCGATGAGCTCCCGATCTCAGGCTAAGTTCGATTTCACTCATTGCTGCACTAGACCATTTAAGCTAAGTCAAGGTTGAGCTGTACTTGTTTGTCAAAAGAAAAGTTTTAGGTCCTCCCAGAAGCAAATATTGTTTTGATTGTTTTTCATCAAATTGACGAGATATGAACTGGGACACGGATGACATAAAAATGGATAACTTCGAAGTTTAGTCAGTTCATTTTTCATACCAAGTATTTGTGCCACTGTTCAGGGTCAAGTTATTCGCTCGGACCAACAAGTCTTAATTTGGTCTTTTGATAAACAACACTAATTGTCACTTAACTTTTATGTCGTTTTCACCTTGATTATCGAAATTGAAAAACTTCCATTAGAGTAAGGAAATTTATTACTTTGGTCACTCATCTTTTAGAGTGCTTCTACATTAGTTGCTGGAATTAAAAAATTATGATCGAAGCAGAGAAAACTCTCATCTCTGTCACTGAACCGTTGAAGCATTCAATCATTAACTACGGTCAACAGAAACGTTTCCATATAATTTTCTTTAATAAATTACTGTCAAATGCTAATTTTATCATGTGAACCAAACAATCTCAATGATTAAGAATTTTTTTTTGATGTCTCATATTCAAATACCATGTATATAAGAGTGTATGAGCATTTAGTATCGAATGGTTGAACGTCTTTAAATGGATATTACTTTATATTCATCTCTCAGCGATCTCAATGATTAAGAAATTATTATTATTTTTTGATGTCTCATATTCAAATACCACATATGTAAGAGTGTATGAGCGTTTAGTATCGAATGGTTGAACGTCTTTGAATAGATATTAGCTTATATTCATCCCTCCTTGGATATTTTTGAGAAAAAAACTAATGTTTTTTTCCTGTACTGTGTATTAATACAAAGTGTTGTGTATTAAGCTTTTATTTGTCATATGCTGCATGACCGTAAAGCTTTATCTCTCATCGAGGAAACTCCCGAGGACATCTTGAAAGCTCATAACGAATTTCGTGCTCAGGTTGGGGGTTCCTCCACTGGTCTGGAATGAAACACTAGCTAAATACGCTCAAGAATATGCCATGAAAAGGGTGAATGACTGTAAGATGGAGAATTCCATGGGACCCTACGGTGAAAACCTTGTTGGAGGCTATGAAGAGTCGACCATCGCCGATTCTTTCAGATTTTGGGCCACAGAGAAGCCCGACTACGATCCTGCTTCCGGTAAATGCAAAAGCGGCGGAGACGATTGCTTGCACTACACTCAAATTGTTGCCAGGAAGACGACCAGCGTCGGATGCGCTAGAGAAAAATGTAAAAACGGGTGGTATTATGTGATTTGCAGTTACTATCCTGTTGGAAACATTGAGGGTGAAAAAGCTTATTAGTTCTTCTTCCTCTTCCGGGCTTTAATTCCTTGGATTTAAAGGAACTGCCTGATGAGATGCATGCCATAATAGTTTTTCTCCGTAGTCCTATATTTTGACCTAGTTTTGACAGAATCATTTTCTTGAATTTTTTCACGAAGAAAGGTCCAAAAGAAAAGTTTGTCTATTCTTCGAATAAAAATGTGATTATGACACATACATGAACGGACCTAAATAATATTTATACGCAAAACACTTAAATTTTGAAATATTGTGATATATCACGAATTACACTTGACATTGGAAGGACATGGTTGAATGCTTGAATTGTATGGCAAAAAAAGGTTATGCTCAACTGGCCTTAGTTAGCTATTATTGATAACGGCTCTCATTTATTGTTATTCGGAGACTTAAACGTCGTCGTAGAAGACCTTCGATTCTTACGGTAGTGAGTAGAGGTGCACAAAAAATCCGAATATCCGATTTTACGCAAAAAATATCCGAAATTGGATTTGGGAAAAACATGCTTTTTTTTTAAACCGGATAAGATATTTAAAAATCGGATAGTATAACCGGTTTGGGAAAAATTAGACGATCGAATTTTTTACCGAATTAAAAACTGGGTTGAAAAAAACCGGATAAAAATCGGTTTTTATTCGAAAAAATCCGGTCTGGGGTTTTAAAAACTAGCCGTTAATATAACTGTTGGGGTTTTTGTGACCTTTTTTGACCTTTTTTTTCTTAAAAAAAAACCATTTTACCACCCTAAACATGTATAAATAGGTTGAGGATGTATTTGGTTGATTACAACTTTCTCAAATCTTATTACACAACACCTAAACATCTCTCAAATCTTATTTTTGTAATTTTTTGTTCATCACGGCTACAAACCGGCTTTTTTAAAAAATTGGGTTTTTTCAAACCGAAACCGGTTACACCGTCCGACCCTCCAAACCGGTTAGGATCCAAACCGGTTTTTTTTAAAATCCGATTTTTTGGCTAGGTGAAAAAAATGGATCGATTTTTATCCGATCCGGATCGATTTTTTATCCGACTTTGTGCATGTCGAGTAGTGAGATAAAAATTGTGTGATATAACATTTAATTTAATATTTTAACATTTATTGATTGAATTATGTTGTATGGATTTTTTTAATAATGAAATCAAAAGCAAACGATTAAAAATCAAATTATCATATATTAAAAATTTTGATTTGATAATATAAATTTTAAAACAATTTAAATTAGAATTTAAAATCAATAAATAATTCATAATAAAAAACGATGTTATACAAATTACATATAAATTTCATCTACTAACATATAATAAAATTGATCATTTCATAATAAATTATTGATTTCTAAATAAACTGTTGAGATGGCTCAAGCTAGCGAAGATATTACTACATCATTATAGATTAATTATAAACTTAATTAGAAATTTAAAATAAATGTGGTGATTATGAAGTGATAATAGTTATATTTTTTGAATTATATTTTATTATTATTTTTTAGTAAGAATAAAAATTGTATTCTTTTTATTGGCTTCAAAAATTTCATTTGTTTAATCACATTATTATTATATTATTCTAATAATTATATTTTAATTAATTAATTTATTAGTTATTTATTTATATTTTAAAAATTAGACACCAAACACATTTTCATTTTCACTATTTTCATTTCTAAAAATAAGTTTTCATTTCTTTTAACTAAACATATTTTTTAATTTCTAGAAAATTGAAAATGAAAACTATTTCTTGAAAATAAGAATAAAAATAAAAAAAAAAAACGGAGTTTTTTTCTAAAATCAAACGAACCCTAATATTTTGACTATTTATATTTTGGAGTGAAAAGTTCATAACATGATTTATGGAAAATCATACCGTAAGTTATTTTCTAGAAAATACAAATTAAATGAAATGAATTATATTGACATGCTTTCTGACTATCAAATACCAAAAATAAAAAAAATATTTTCCAAAAAAAAATCAATTATAGAGAAACAAAATGACCCTAATAGCGTTGATGGGAAGGAAAGTGAGGAAAGATAATAAAAGAATGGTGGGGAACGTGAGAAAAGAGGCAGTGATAGTGGCGGGGACCCGGGGGGGGGCGCAGTCGTTTTTGGCGGCGGGTGAACTCGGTGTCGGTTGGATATCTAATGGAACTTGGTCTTAAGCTTTCACCATTTTCATTTTCTTCTCTTTCCTTCTTAGTCGAGTCGAATTTTGCTTCCCTCTAGTCGTGCCCCACCATTTTTTCTTCTTCTAAGTTCTTGAGGTGATAATAATTGATGATGCAGGTTAGAAAAAGTTGATCTAAGTTGCTTATACAGTGAAGTGAAGATTACTGGCACAATCTTGTGTGTGTGTTAGGTGCCCTTATAATAAGCCTAATGCAGAGCACTGTGCCACCAAAAGATGCAACAACTGTGTCTTCCCGAATCGATCGTTGTCATGCCGTTTTTAATCGAGATAAGGTCGTCGGTTACTCGTACCTTGTAATAGCTGTCCTGGTTCTATATATCAATCAATGTCGTCTTGCAGGTACATATGAAACAAATCATGCATGTACGGATGTTGAACAAAATTTCTGTTTTAATGCAGGAATGTTCTTGATGTTCACTGGTCTGTACGTGGATTCGGAGAAGCTGTTGTATATCCAATTATTACATATGAAACAAATCATGCATGTATGTATGTGTCTAGGCATATCCAGTTATTACCATGTAGATTAAAGTCAAAGTGTATATACACACACATACATACATAAAGTCTTCAGCGATCAGCTCATCACCACTAAACCCAATATACCAAAAGTCTTCCCCCAAGTCTCTATCTACCTCAATAATTCCACTCTTCTCTATCTTCTTCTATCACAGACCAGAAAAAAGATTCCCAGAAAATGGAGGGTCTTATCCCTTTGGTTTACCGAACACTGAAGAACACCAAAAGCCGCAGGCAATACGAGTGTCTCTCGTCCAGCGTACCTCAACCTCACAACATTGCGGATCTTGACGTTCAGAGTCAGAGTCCGAGTGGTAGTCATTTCTATATGGAACCGAATAATAATTCTGTTGATGAGAGGAATATCGGCAGCTGCAGTCACCACCGACGGATGTCCATGGGAGATGTCTCTTCGTCCGCGGAAGGGATGAAAATTACCATGGATTCTCCGACACCGGCAGGGACGGAACTTACGAGGTTTAGGAGCCACAGGATGTTTTCATGTGTGACCGGTTGCTAAAAGATACGTACCATCCTTTGCTTTTGCAATCAAATGTTCATTGCAGGCACAATTAGAACATGAATTTGTTATTTGTATGTATGTATGTATGTATGTATGTATCATAAACAGATGATATCGTCATTAGAAGACAAGCCAACCCAAAGCCATAGTATGGTCCAAAACGAGGAAGCCATTGATATTTTGTATTCTCAATTAACTATCAATAAAGTTGGAGCCTTTCTTTTAAGGTCCATGGTCATTACTCAACAAGCAACTATAAACAATCTAAATATAAAACTGACACAAATTAACGATGGAGATATAAAAGCGATCAATCCAATAATTTTGGTGGGTTCAAGTGATATTAGCTAATAATAAGAAGAAGAAGAAGGAATTTTTTTTTGAAACAATGAGTTTATAAAAACCAATAATAAAGGGAGAGAATGGATTCCTTCTCGTTCGTTTTCATTTCTTTTTTCTCTGTTTTTTAGAGATTAAGCGAGTCCTCGATTAAATCCCATTGCTTCGAAATGAGCACGGGCGAACTTCTCAACGTCGACCCTGTAGAGCTCAAGTTTCCTTGTAAGTTTTTTTTTTTCATTCTGGGATTCTCTTTCCCTTTTCTCCCCGCTCTTTGATTTCTTTTTTTTTTCCTGGGATTTTAGTTTTGATTCGTTTTTGTTGGTTATGGTGTTTCAATAGTTGAGCCGAAGAAGCAGATCTCATGTTCTTTTCAATTGTCGAATAAAACTGATGATTATGTAGCTTTCAAGGTATCGTTCATCGATGTCGAATTGTAATGATCTGTTTGGTAGCTGAGAAAAATAGAAACAGGAAAGAATGAATGATTAACAACGATAAATCAATACTTCATTTGGATTTTGTTTTTCAGGTGAAAACAACAAATCCGAAAAAGTATTGTGTTCGTCCCAACACGGGGATCGTTTTGCCTAAATCAACCTGCGAGGTTATAGGTACAATGTACAAATTCAATGAATCAATTACATTTTTTTCCACATTTTTATCATTGTTTGTTTTCTGGGTAATCTTCAAAACAATCAATGATTCTTTTTTAGTTACCATGCAAGCGCAAAAGGAGGTCCCTGCTGATATGCAATGCAAGGACAAATTCCTCCTCCAAACTGTAAAAGCCCCTGATGGTGCAACTCCAAAGGATATTACCGCGGAAATGGTATGATATTATCATTCGAATACGAATTCAGACATTTACATTTGAATTCGAATAACATGATTTGCCTTTGAGGGTTAGGATGTATGGTTTTGATTGATTAAGGAAATGTTCGATTTTCTAGTTCAACAGAGAAGCTGGGAATGTGGTTGAGGAATGCAAGTTGAGAGTGGTCTATGTTTTTTCACCTCAAGATGCAGCTGCACATGATGGGTCTGAAGTAGGGTCTTCAATGAGAGGATCCGTCTCGGACAATGGCCAGGCGAACGCTACTGAGTTCGTTATGGTACCGAAACCGAGATCTTGCTGTGACTATTTTTGTTATTGCCTCTGTTGTTTGCACAATGTTTTTCTGGAACGCTAATAGTTTGCATTTGGTGAATGCAGGCTGCAAGAACATTTACAGAAGAAGTTCAAGATAATCAAAGGATATTACCGCGGAAATGGTATGATATTATCATTCGAATACGAATTCAGACATTTACATTCGAATTCGAATAACATGATTTGCCTTTGAGGGTTAGGATGTATGGTTTTGATTGATTAAGGAAATGTTCGATTTTCTAGTTCAACAGAGAAGCTGGGAATGTGGTTGAGGAATGCAAGTTGAGAGTGGTCTATGTTTTTTCACCTCAAGATGCAGCTGCACATGATGGGTCTGAAGTAGGGTCTTCAATGAGAGGATCCGTCTCGGACAATGGCCAGGCGAACGCTACTGAGTTCGTTATGGTACCGAAACCGAGATCTTGCTGTGACTATTTTTGTTATTGCCTCTGTTGTTTGCACAATGTTTTTCTGGAACCCTAATAGTTTGCATTTGGTGAATGCAGGCTGCAAGAACATTTACAGAAGAAGTTCAAGATAAATCTCCTGAGGTATATTCTGAATTCCGCATCTTCTGCGTCACCCTATACTGCTGCATATGTGTGATTTGTTATTCATTTATTTCGGCATTCGGATCCATGTTGCTTCAACTCTTTACTTTCTTGAAATGCTCGTGTCCGAAACCTATATTCGATATCAATATGAAAATATGATCCTCTAGTAGCCTCCAAATACATGGAAGAACTTCAAAAGAATTGAACTTATCTGCAATGGAAACATACCCATAATCCAGAAATCACACCCGAGTCAATGTAGCATAGTTCGTCGGATATTTGCATCGCTTTCAACGCTTCTAGATCGTAGCTGGAAGCTCTTTTATTGTATGTAATGTTAATATATTGAAGGTATAATAATCCTCAATAACACTTACTATAATTGCAGGCAAAGGCTCTTATAACAAAGCTGACTGAAGAGAAAAATAAAGCAATTCAACAGAATAACAAGCTTCGCAAAGAGCTGGTATGAATCGTAGTTATAGGTCTTTTTCTATGCTCCCACCTGCAGTTTTCTTTCATTACGGATGATCAAGTTAGTAAATTCATCGACCCTTTATTTTCCGCATACCGTCTGTCCATAATCGCTGCTAGCTATCGAAAACTTCAAGTCGACATCGATCTCTCCTGTTTTCCTTTAACATCTCAGACCCCAGCACGACCCCTACTTGTCTCTCCATACACATGTGCTTTCAATATACTTGTCTCCGACCGGTTTTTTACGTTCTCTTGATCCATTTTGAGCCTTGCAAAATTCCTCACATGTAAAACTTACAAATGTTTAGGAACTGTTGAAGCGCCAAACCGGCAAAGGTGGCGGCGGTTTGTCATTCATGCTTGTGTTCTTGATCGGCTTGGTCGGATTAATCACGGGATATATCATGAAGAGACCGTGAACGGCGACTGATCTAGTCGGCTCATCTGCCTGATTTTCCCTTCATCTGGAGAAGTGCAGTAAAACGGAAGAAAAACAGAGGGTCTTCTGCTGGTACTTGCATTAGGTAACCTTATGGAATTAGCAAAAACTTGTTAAGGCTAAGGTCCTTTGGGTTTGGTAGCTGCAAATCCATTAATTTGTTGCATTCTTTCTGTAATTATCATTTTTTTTTGGTTCATTTCAGGTTCTGGTAATACCAGAAATGATTATTTAATGAATAATGACTATATACCTTTCGAATTAGCCCTTTTCCTAAAGCATGCATTAGGCTATTCGACTTGTATATTAAAGTATTTAAAATATCAGAATTTATAAAATAATAAATTATAAATATAAAAAATAAAATAAAATTTAAAATACTCATATACTCATTTTATTTTATTTTTTTTGATTAAATATGGGTAAATATAAGGTAATATCTATTCGAAAATAACTCAATCTTTTGACATTAAATTTTCATACCCTTAATATTTTTAGTGCTCGAACCTGAGCCTCAAGGATCACGAAAACCACTTGGTTCATGCATATTCGAATATAGATTACGTATTTTTTTAAAGGGTAAATTATACTAGTTACCATTAAACTCTAGGTGGTGCATTGTTTATAGCAATGAATTGTAAATTTCTTCTATTACAGCACTGAAATTTGGTTTTAATTTTAATTATATCACAATGCCCTTAAAATTCAAACAATGTGATGACATGGATAAAACAACATAGTTTTAGTGCAACTATTGATATCTAAAATCATATTGTTTTAGGTACTGAACTTTAGGATATATTTTTTTGTTACTAAAATTTTAAAATGTTTGCTTTCTGTCATTGTAATTTTTCAATAGCTGTTGATAGTTAATCATGTCTCGTCATCGATTGTTTTCTGTGGCAAGATCAATATTTCTCATGTGATTGATTTTCTACGAAACTTACTAAAAGTTGACAAAATTAAACAAAAAAACTATCATTTTAGGGATTTTGGGGCTTTCTTAGATTTGAGTGATTTTTGGCGTTTACTTGAAAATTCAAACTATGAGAAACATTATTTTGTGAAGACTACCAACCTATCTCAAAATTAACCTCATCAAACGACCATTAGAAGATATCAGGATATCAACACGTCAAAATTTCAAAAAGATTTTCGTCGATTTTGAGTGAGTTTCATGGAAGATCAATCATAAGAGAAGAAAGATGAGTGAGATGCAAACGTTTTGATATCGATTTTGCCACAGAAGATACCAATGTCCAGTAGTGATTGGTTCTTGACGACGGTCAAAAAATTCAATAACAAAAAGTGTAATGCTTAAAAGTTTAGTAATAAAATCGATACATCTTAAAGTTTAATTTCTAAAAGGATGTTATTTTAAGCATCAATAATCGTCATCAAATTTTTTTATTTTATTTATGTTATTAAAATGATAAAAAGATGTATATAGTCATCATGTCATTAAAAATTTAATGTTATAATAAAAAAAATTAAAAATTTATTAATAAAATTTAATGATATCCGATGTAATTTACCTGTCCGGAAGAAGAGTCAGGAATATTCTTATAATTTATCCCACCCCACTCTTTGTTTGACAAAGTCCCATGATCATTGCCACATTGGAAGCCGTCCGATTAACATACTTTTCAACCTTATCCAAAAGAACATCGACACATGAAAATGATCTGTCCGTCTTACCGTAATCAACAAGCATTAACCAACAAGAACCAATAATATCAGCCCACGTGTATATCATACCATTTGCAATTACATATACGCCCTTCCAAGAGCTATTTATAAAACCATTCATCAATCATTAGTTTTAGAATAAAAAAGCAAGCTCGGCTGAAAGAGTATATTTTTTCTTGTCAACCAAGCCACGATCAAGCCTTGAAGATTTCTTTTGATCAAGAGAAAAAGGTAAAAGCTTTATCCTTTTTGGCTTTGGGTTCATCTTCACAAGGTTTGCCTTTCTGGGTTCTCCTTGTATTTGCAATCTGTTTCATGTATGTTTGATTGATCTTTTATTTTATTTTCTGGGTAATTAGAAAGGATAGTTTCAGTTGAAATTTGGGGCTTTTCTTTTTGGTTATATGATTATGTTTTCCTCAATTGTGCAAAAGGAGAAAACACTGCGATCAAGGATAAAATTTGGGCCTTTAATTTTACAATTTTTCATTTTCATTTTGGCTTTTAATTTCAGGAGGAATGGCAAAGAGTTACTTCAAGCAAGAGCATGATCTGGGTATGTACTGAAACCTTTTATTTGTTATGAACATGTATATATATCTTTAATTTCTCTGTAATTTATGGTGAACCAGTCTGAATTATGCTATTTATGGGAAATCAATTATTTATATTTTGTGGGAGCTAATGATTTTTCTCATGTTTGGTTCTGGCTTCAGAGAAGAGGAGGGCAGAGGCTGCTAGGATTAGGGAGAAATACCCGGATAGGATCCCGGTAACGCTTCGGCTTTTATTTCCGATCTTGATATCTGTCGTTACTGTTCATCTAATATGTTCTGCCTCTTTTCATCAGACTGTATATCTGTTTGTGATTAGAAGTGTTCCAAGCTTGACTTGTTTATTATCCCTCTTTTATTTTTAAGGTGATCGTGGAGAAAGCGGAGAGGAGTGATATCCCGAACATTGACAAGAAGAAGTAAGGGTTACCGATATCTTATTTGTGGCTTTAGATTATCTTGATTCATCGTCTCATCCTGTTAAAAGACGTCGTCTGGTGTTAGTTTCTTTGAATTATCCATCTCTATCATATTGCACCTCCGATCAACATCCCTAGCTGCTAGGAAGAAGCATTATAAAGAGTGAAGTGTATGATGATGATTGTTGAATCTCATGTTGATGTGGATGCTATTCCACCATTTTTTACTGTCTTGGACATACGAGACCGTTCGAATTGCTTATTTATTTCCGGGGGTGCTCTTCAGTAGAGATTATCTTCATGTAATATGATTCTGAAATTTACAGGTATCTTGTCCCAGCTGATTTGACCGTCGGACAATTCGTATATGTTATCCGTAAAAGGATCAAACTGAGTGCTGAAAAAGCTATATTCATATTTGTGGACAATGTTCTCCCTCCAACTGGTAATCCCTTGCACTTACATCCATTGCTGCTCGATTCTTTACCTTTGCTATCTGATTCAAAGGGGGCTAAACTCCTTTTTTTTTTTTGTTTCGCAGGTGCCATTATGTCTGCCATATACGAAGAGAAGAAGGATGAAGATGGATTTCTTTATGTTACTTACAGCGGGGAGAACACATTCGGGGATCGGATTTCTCAGTAGCCTTTGGTAAATTCGTTCCCGAAGTTGCTTTTAACTTTTCCTCATTTCTCCAGTCCCGTGTATTACCTCTAGCATCACCATTTCCATTGCCTCTGGGACGGTAATTTCTTTATCGCTGGTATTATTTAAAGAACTGGTGACAATACGGTGTATATAAATTTTATGATTTCCACTCAATGTGAATAAGTTGCTTTCAATCGTATATATCACTTGAATTCGATTGCTCCTGTTGCAGAAAGAAAACTATAAAATATTATGTAGAAAAAAGAAAATAAGGCCTTTTATCTTCTTTTTTTGTTCAATTGTTTCATTTGATTTATTCATAGAATGGAAATACAAATGATTATGAAATTAAATTTTGGAGTGAAGGAGCTATAGGATAAATGAGCTATCGAGACATTACATTACACAGAGGACTCCCACTCTTCAGACTCTCACCTGTGCCCCTACCATATCTACTCACTTAAAGGTTAATATTCTTAACTTGGCGATCAGGAATCAAAGCAACTTACGTGTTTATCGACTCGATTTGCTCCGTAATTCATTGTCCGGAATGTTTGCCAATTCTAGATGATCAGGAAATTTATGCATGGTCAGATCTACATGACAAAACCAAGCCATTTTAACAAACTAGAATATGGTGAATGAATTTACTAACCTTGAAGTGAAGGCAGGCATTATACGGAGGGATCAACAAGTTCTTCGAATTCACTGAATATATTCGGGCAGTCATCCCATTTTCCCTGTTCTCTTGCTTCCCAGTAACCGCCCACGTAATGGAAGGATCCATTTTCATCGTCTTTCTGGAACCATCTAGGCTTCCACCCGTTTTCTTGTAGTTTTCTCGACTGTGCAGGACCAGAGACAGCATGAATATCAAGCAATAATATAAGCAAGACGGAAAAGACAACATGCAAGGAGGCTTTTCTGGAAGGAAAAACCCATTTACAATGACAACAAATAAATGCATGTGCATAGAAACATCACCGTTGATGTAATACATGCTGACATCCCATTTTCCAAATAATGTTGCGACTTTTCTACTCGAAAGGTCTTCAACAAACCCGTGGACCTATTTAAATGAAGGTCACAGGATAAGAAATTACTACATAAAATAACTCCCAAGACACAGAAGATAGACTACAATGGATATGAAGCAATCAAGGGGGATAAAACGATTATATTGACAACTAACCTGGTGAGGGTTCCGGTCAAGAATAGATTGCTCTTTGAATTTGAGTTGGCATGAATACTGGCGATTCCCTTGAATGTGCATCAAGCCATGGTGATCGCAATATATTTTACCAAGGATAAGGTTATAAATACTAGTTGTTACCTGCAGAGAATGAGGTCCAAATAAATCATACCACACAAATAGAAAGGGGAAGCTAGTATACTAAAACGCCTAAATAGCAAATCCAGTAAACACACAGCCCAGTAGTGCACACCTTGCTCCACTGAAATACTTCACCATCATCAAACTCTACGGTCAGAACTCCAACAGGGTTGAGCTGAATTGAACGCCCCCAAAACTTTGTGCGGAGGTTACTGTCACCCCAGAATTTCCATCCTCGGCCTTCACAATGACAGGCAATAAGGGTTGGGTGATGACTAACCTGTTTGAACCTGAAAGGTAAGTCATATGTTCTATGGAACTGCAGTACAATATTTGGACTCTCACATCCAGATAAATAGATGCAACAACATAGGAAGGTAAGTACTCCTAAGGCCTACAAACTAGTATAATTCAAGTTTGCCTCCTAAGTTCTTCACTGTCTTAAGAATGTCCACACTTTTCCATAAATAGTTCAAATTATTGTTGAGGACACTACCATGGCATTAATTTCCAACATCTTGATTATCCATAATGGAGAAGGTGATGACAGTCTCTCCCCCTCTCCCCTCTCCCCTCCTTGTTTATTTATTTCTAAATATATGCGTGCGTGTTATTTGGGTATGCAAAAGTATAGCATCTAGTTGATCTTGTTCCAACTGCTGAAAATCAAAAGCACTTGAAGTAATAAAAATTAATACAAAATTTCATAGCTTGTCAGTTTCAACTTCAATATAAAGCTGCACATTTCTTAATATGAAGTTTAGTCATTGATGATCCTGACTGCTGACCTTCTCGGAGAAGAAACGAAGTCCTTTGTCAGGATAGTCTGCTTCATAAGTTTCCCCTAGCAATGGATTGAAGGGCTTACAATGTCGGCCTTCAGAGGAAGCATACCCGGAGACAGCAAATGCAGCAACATTAAGAATTCTCTGGATACTGTTACCCTGAGAATGTACAGAAAACCCAGATATTTGAAAAATGCAAGAGCATGCTATGTTTACAGAATTTTCAAAAGAATTGCTAAACGTCCACAAAAACTTTTGGGACAAGAGATTTCTGAGGGATTGAGATTTCCCAAATTTCACTCTAGATATTATTTCTTATCAGTTAAGAGTGCACCGATTTCTCAAATTTTAGATGTACTCCCATGTTGTAAATGGTCTGAAATCTTTATTTAAATTTGCAATAACCGGAGAAAATAGTGCATTTAGCAAGATAAGCACAAAATATTAAAGATGAAATGTATGTATAACTTACTTCTTTTCCATACTTGTATGCTCGGTCCAAAAGATAAGAATATTCTAGGTCCTCAAAACATTTCTGAAGGGATGATATTGGTTCATTGAAGTAAACAGGGAGACATACTCGTGTGAGATCCTTTCCCACATTGTCTTTTATCATAGACCAAAGGCTAACCCCTTTCTCTTTTTCGACTGGATCAGGAAGCATTTTCCGTCTCTCAATTTGAGGATATTTGGAATCACAATCTCCTTCATCAGCATGCATCTTTTCCACATTACCATATTGATTTTCAATTTCTTTCAGATTATCTGCATGATCGATTGCAGCTTCAGTAAAATACTCTTTGGTATCAAAGAACAAGGGTCCATCTTCATGAGAAACTTCCTCGAACTCTTGCTTCTCTACATCATCAGATGATTCTGTAGTTCTGCATTCTGAGAACCCAAACAAATGTCAGGCCATAAGAGAGCAGGACAAGAATTAGTAACCAGAAACATTGGTTAACGTTATCACAACATTTCTGAACAAACATGCATATCTAAAACACAATGAAATCAGTTTATCCGTAAAGTGATAACGTTATCAAATAAAGCGAGAATGATGATGGCAAATAAGAGGACAGGAAATTTACGTTGGAACTTTGGATGTTCAGAACATATTTCTTACTCAAGAATGCATATCTAAAACACAATGAAATCAGTTTATCTGTAAAGTGCTAACACAATATAATTTTAACAATTAAATAGGTGCCAGACATTCATGCATAAAGTAAGATGGAGACAGGGTTACAGACGGTAATGTACCACTATTTCCATGCCCCAAATTGGAATATTCATGCTTCGTCAACTGATATTCTCCATGAAATCCAGAGGTTTCAGATTCAATATTAGCTGCCTGAACATGCAAAAAACATTAAAAAAAAAAATAATGTACCATAAACAATATAGCTTAGCAAAATATTGCATAGGATAAGTCAATTACGGTGTGGTAAACCATTTAGAAGATGAGGTTACTAAAACCAAGAATAAGACAACATTTTAAAAGATGAGATAATTAAAACACATTGTTTAGCAATCCCACCGGCCACCAATATGATTATTATTATTTTATTGATCAACTAGAGTTTCTATTTTACCACAGTCAATAAGGATTTAAGGTAAGCTACCACAATCATTTTACCAAAGGAAGGTTAAACGTACAATGAAAATGTGTTATTATGATGTTACAAAATGCAATAAACCAATAATACATGTACAAAGGATATCACATGAGAAAAAAAGTGGAATAAAAAAATGCAGAACTCAATAAGTTTTAAAACATAAAAATTATATTACATTATACTGCTTAAGTTTCGATAAAACATTCTACAATGAGAAACAATTGTAAACACATAACCAGTTTTAATTAATCACCACTAATTACCCTTCATTAACAGTCATCACTTGTATAACCTAGAGAACGACTAATGCACCAACAGAATACATTTGTTTTACTAACTTGTATAACCTAGAGAACGACTAATGCACCAACAGAATACATTTGTTTTACTATTGAACAAAAGCTTTGTTATTCATTTCCACTAGACATCATAACACTCAAGGATAGTTTTCATCACATCACACATTCATTTCCACCAGCCATCAGAACAATCAAAGATAGCTTTCATCATATTACATATGAAGATTATTGATACTAACTTTAGTAGGCCTCTATACTCTCATTTGTGAACAGTATCTGTTCATCCCAGCAAATATTATTCAATTCGAATTCTAGGCTCCACCAGTTGAGCTAATTACCAACACGAGCCTGCCAGAGGCTTGACACCCTCTTAGTACAAAACACTATGGGATTAAAAAAATACACTTTTATCATTTAACTTATTAAGTTGAACTTGATACTCATCCAAGTCTAACAAAATTGATCTTCACTCTAATTTAGAAAGGAAGAAATTTAATTTAGCTCACCAAACTATTCAGATTCCAAATTATTAAAAGGTGTAAATAACTAAAGATCAAGCACTTTCATTCAAAGACATGTACTAATTACTAAGCTCACATTACCTCTAATTGCCTTAATGTGTCGAGCAAATTAGATCTTTCTTCATAAAGAACTTTAAGCTGCCCTTGTACCTCCGAGAACTCTGAGAGCATTATCTTCTCACAATCCTTCACAAGGTTATCACTGATGCCCTCCTCATGCAACCGTTTCTTGAGTCTATCAGTTGACATAGACAAATCATGGGGTACAAGGTTGAGATTATAATTTAATGGTCTCAGCGGAAGGATGCTCCTGGTTGATATCAAAGCTTGTATCCAAGCAACCCGATCTTTCTTTGAATCAGTTCTCAAATGAAGGGTCTTTGTAGCAGTAAAAATGTAAAACCGTCTATCATCAGATTTGCTCTCCCGGAATGATGAAATCTGCTACAAGAATTCAATTAACAACACCATGAGTAATGCAAGAGTTCCATTACTGTCATATAATCACATAGATCACCAAAACTTTTATGCCTCATTTCATGATCACATCAAATAAATTCACAGAAGAAATTCATGAATGATACAATTATAAAAATCATTTTCCAGAGATAAAAATGGAATAAATGCTATCAATTCAAGACGATGCACGTTGAAAAGAACAATATTAAAGCCTTGAACCACTCGTTGAGGTAGCATTATTGCTCAAATTTTTCTAAAACCGCCTGAAGAAAAACAAATATCTGTGAAGCCCTAACCTCAGCAGAAGCCAAACCGCATTTACCATCAAACACCAGATGATTGCACAAAATAACAAGACTTTTTTGGTCTCTAAGAGGAGAAATTGTTTTAGCAACAAATAAAATAAAAATCTCACATAAAACAAGAAACAAAACTAAAAAATTGATCACAGAAGCCGATGCTAATTTCTACCTCTTAAGCATTACAACTGCAAAGGGCCATTAAATGAAGCCGATGAAGCACCATTTGGATCTACTTTTGCATAGGAGAATATATATTTAAAAACAACAAGGGAAAGAAATACTGTTATATCCTTTCAGTTTTCGCGGGTTTCTAAACAGTATTCACCATAAAATTCCATACAATCTTAACGACGAAAGCCATCAACTAGCCTCAAGCACTCCACTTTGTCTTTTGTTTATTTCAATGCTTACGAACTAGAGAAGACCACGCAAAAACTAATAAAGAAAAAAAGCTGCCTCTATATTTCAAGACAAATAATACAAAACTCAAACAAAGGATGACTACAAACAAAACCCACATCTACATTTCAGAGAAACACTCCTTAATATCCTCGTTTTTACTTATACATGGCCTCTGGTAATGTGATTTTGATTAAATCTATGAGAATCATTTGAAGTCTGTAATTTCTGTCACCATCACCTTAAGGGAAGAGGCCGAAACTACATCAGCTGGCAAGAAAAGGGAATATACATGATAAAACGTGAGAATCGAAAGGAAAAGAAGGGCAAAGAGATCAGAAGCAAAAGACAGAAAGAAATGGGGAAAAAGGGGGGGGAAAGGGAGGGAAAAACATCAGACTTCAAGTAGTTCGAATCGACGTTGATGGCTTTAAAAACGTTCATCCATCTATTGAATACCAATTTAAACGATGATGTGACCGACCAGAGCTTAATTCCTAGACCTAAAGCATGCGCTATCACAGCCCACCTGCTGATGTGACCCACTATACATAAACAGCCAGTTAAAAAGAGTAAATATTATATTAAAAAATATAAATTTTCTACTTTTTCCTATTTTCCCCCAAAATTAAACATGAAAATTAAATATCAGAAAGCAGATACTCAAATAAGGCGAGAGAAAACGGAAGTTTACAGATTTAAGTTCCTTTTTACAGATCAAACAGTAAATTACGTGCTGAATAATGCAAGAAACTTACGGTTCTTGCACTTCAATTTTCCGCTTTTTCACTGCTTTAGCTCAGATATCAATGCCTATTTTTCCACTGATGACTTTGTTTTGTTTATCAGATGAAAAAGATTCAGGGTTAGTAAAATTAGTGTAAAACATACTTCGCAACTCTCCGTTCATTTTTTGAATCAAAATACATTAAGAATTATTTCTAGAAAAAATATAATGCCGCGAAATTGATCGCTCAGATCATCTGGCTGTTCGATTTTCGTTTCATTTTCTTTTTAGTTTGGATGGACCTTTTGAATTTTGATTTTAATTTTCTGATATGTATACCTTCAAATGAACAATGCCGACGGTTTTCTGGTTCCTCCGTCTACCGCTACAACTGTCGGTCCTCGAAAGCCGATTGGTCGATATATCACCGATCCAACTGACTTCATCGGGGGAGGGGATGTTTAGACTCTCCGACCGGCGAATTTTCGAGTAAGACAGCATTCCATTACGAAGCAAAAACCACCTGGATCTCCATCCTTTCCCATAATTAGTCCACTTGTAGAGAATTCCAGCGACAGTACCTTCGGACCCTCCCGTCGTCAACCTCGCCGCATTGCCAGTTTCAGATCCGGATAAAGCCTCCGCCGGCATGCTCCGAGATCGAGTCAACGAAATCTCCGGTGACTGGTCGCCGATGCCTGGACTCTCCAATGATATACAACATAGCGGATGCATCTCCTTCATCCGCATTGTTCTTTTCTCCTCCGATCTCGATCACAACTGAATCAACTGCTGCAACAAACGAAAACGGCTATAAGAAACGAATCAAAACATCAATTATTAGCATGAAAATCAAAGAAAAAGCATTTAAATTGAAGTAAATTTTGTTTTAGGGTTCAAACAAGAGACCTTTTTGGGAGTATTCGTGGTCGATAAAGCTTAGTTGAGAGTTTAAGCTTTGTTTTTCAGCTCTGAATCTAAGAGATCCATAAAGGAAAAAATATATAGAACCCATTTATATAATACTATTTTTTTATTAAGAAACTAGTTTTAAATTTTCCAAAAAGAAAATGGCATGTTTGTAATTAAGTTGAGAATAGTTTTTTATCGGGAGTAGAAAGAAAAATAAGGGTAATTCTATGAAAATTTAGATAAATATAACTTTTTAATATATATATATATATATATCTCAAATTTTTATTTATATTTTTTTTAAACACATATTACAAAAATTTAAAGTTGCCTTTGGATATTTTGGGTATTGACAATTTTGTTAAGTTATTTTATAATATGATTTTAAAAAATAAGTTTACAATTATAGTTGATTTTAGGTATAACACAGAAAAAAAACTTATAAGTTTTAATTAAATAATTGTTTTATTTTATCTTTTAGCATTTTAATTCATAATATTTCAATTTATGATAAAAAGAATCTATAAATGAAAATCAACAAATAATTAACATTTTGAAATAAAAATTTTCAAAATTGAAATAAAAACATTTAGGGGGTGTTTGGATGGAGGAATGTGGGATTTCATGGGAATGGAATCCACATTCCCCCGTTTGGTTAGCTCGGGAATCTCATTCCCGGTAATGTAAGATTACCAATAGTAGATTTTTTGGGGGTATATTACCGGGAATGACATTACCTCACTTTCCTTAGGTATTGTTGGAATACCGACGTTTTGGACTAAAATCCCTAAAAAAAAATTCTTTCAAAAATATCATTCTTCTGTCATTGAATAATAAAAATTCTACGAAAGTTAAATTACAAATTTATCCTTAAATTATTTTAGATTTACAAAAAAAATATATATATTTAAAATTTTATATGAAGTTCATGGGTTAAAATAAAATTTTACCTTTCATTAAACCTTTTTATATTTTTAATTTTGTAAAAAAAATTATATAAATTTTATAAAGAAAATATATAAATATTTTTTAACTGGTTAAAAAAACAAATATATAATAAGGACAATTTAGTCAAATATACATTCCAATAATCTTTTATTACTTTAACCAAACACGGTAATCTTACATTCCTGCTAAGTCAACCAAACACAAAATACAACATTCTTAGTAATCTTATTCCCTGGTAATTTTACATTCCCATTGGTAATCTTACATTCCCATTAATAATTTTATATTCCGTGAACCAAAATACAACTATATTAGTTTTGTAACGTTTGCACGTAGACTTAACCAAAATACAACTCCTTTGGTAGGGACTAGGGATGGGCATGAGATCCGAACTCGACAGCTTCTGACTCATAGACCCGATCGAGTTGGGTCGGGTCGATTTTTTAAAATATGATTTTCGGGTCGAGTCAGTTCAAGTTTAGGGTGAAAATACCCGACCTGGTCGACCCGACCCGCAAAAAAATATAATTTTACCTTATATATTTATGAATAATTATAATAATACCCCTCTATATATTAGTTTTTTTCAACTAAGTCATTGTTTTTATTGAATAAAAATAATATTTTTATTATTTGGGGTCGAGTTTTTAAGTTATATATCAGGTCAAGGTCGGGTCGGGTGAAATCTTATTTTGGTCGAGTCGAATCTCGGGTGGATGATTCCTTGTTCTCGGGTCGGGTCGGATGGACCAAAAATCTGACCCAACCCGACCCATGCCCGTTCCTATTGGTGACTGTGGAGTTCTATCTCTATAGAGTTTTCAATTCAAGTCATTTCATTCTCTACAACTTAAACTCGTTTTTCGTATGTTTTCGCTTGATTTTCTTAGCTTAAATTTGTTAAAGTATTAAATTGATGTTTAATTAAAATGTAAAATTAACTCAAAAATTAATATTTTCTTCTATTATGCCGTGTTGTTAATATAATAAGAGTTAATATTCGAATGATCATTTCGTGATAGATAGATAATATTAATGATCATAACGTAACATTTGAAAGTTGAGTTATAAAATTACGAGATTACTAAAACATAAGTTACTTTAGAAAATGATAACTGTTAGATACATTAATAATTTAATATGTATTTCTAAGTTTTGTAGATAGAGTGAAAAGTTACAATTTTTTAATTGATATTAACACGATAAAAAATAAATAAAAGAAATAAATTGTAGAATATTTATTTTTTGTTATAATATTAAAAAATAGGGTAAACTACGTATTTAATATCTAAACTATTAATTCTAGTTTGTTTCAGTATCTAAACTTTCATTTTTTTAAAACCATACATAACATTTATTTTTTATTTCATTTTACTGCACGTCGTTAAAAACTTAACTAGTTTAGTACCTAAACTGTTAGTTTTGACCCGTTTTAGTACCTAAACTTTTAATCTTTTCAAAACTTAACGTTAAATTTTGAACAGAGTACTAAAATGAAACAAAAACTAAAGTTTTTAAGGGCATGTACTAAAATGAAATAAAAACTAAACTTTAGATATATTTTTGAAAAAAAAAATTAAAAGTTTAAGTGCTAAAACGGATTAAAACTGATAGTTTAAATACTAAACTCATAATTTACCCAAAAAATTATTTTTAATATGTCAAATAATAATCTTAAAAATAAAACAAAAAGATATAGTTAATAGAAATGATCATACACACTTGGAGGAGACGTGATAAAATATGTTACAAAGATTGAAAAATAATATAGACAAAATATAGGGTAAAGTACAAAGGATGTTTTATTATTAAGTAATTCTACTATTAAAAGTTACACAATGATCCTCAATTATAGTGTGTTTTGTTGAGTTATTGGACTTTTAAAAGTTATAAAATGGTCATTCAACTATTCATATGTTCCAAATTTTTCGTTAAAAATTAATGATAGTTTGAGCTATACGTTAACCTGTTAACTGAGATTTTGTGATAAGATTTTATTATATCACAGTCATCAGGTTAATATTTAGCCCATATTATCACAAATATTTGTTAAAAATTGATGAGTTTAGAATATATAAATAATTAACTAATTATTTTGTAACTTTTAATAGTTAACGATTCAACAAAACAATGACTAATGATTGTTGTGTATTTTGCCTCCAAGAAAAGGAAACTAACAACTATATGTATTGAACTAAACTAATTGAACAAGTTGAAGCCCCCCAACATAAATTATAAATTAGGAAATGTATAGAAATAATTAAAATATAAAATTTACAATATTTAAACTCAAAAATAATTTGAATATATCGAAAAATAAATAAAATAGAGTAAATAAATGATTTCACAGGAGGGGGGCCTCACTAGGAATAAACGATGCTGAGAATGCATTTATCCCTTTTGACTATTCATTGGAGTGATCCAAAATTTGAGGGAGTTTTCCCAATTAATTCTTAGGGATTAAATTAAATAAATGAAGAATCAATTGGATCTTGAAAGTGACAATTCAATGCCTACAATTAATTATTTTAAAACAAACTTTTGAGTTACTCACCAACCAGGGATGTTTATAGAGCGAGTTGATTGCGAGTTGGATAGTACTCGACTCGTGGTCGTTCAAAAAATTTACTGTTCTACTCGACTCATTGCTCGTTAAGCGTTTTTTAAAAAATTTTACCCGACTCATGCTCGTTAAGAAAACTTTTTACTAGTTAAGTTCGTTACTCATTAAACTCGATGCTCATTGCTCCCCTCGTTATTTGTTAAGATCACCAAATTTTTTATCTTATTCTCTTAACTATAGGTAAAATTTACTAATACTATATAGAACTTAATACAAACATAAATTAATAAATTTAACTAAAACTTTATCAAAAGAGGGTGTAGAGTAATTTTAAAGTTTAAACTCTAAAGTAACAATTTACAAAACACTAAAAATAATAAATAAGGTTTGATTTTTGAGTGTATGAAATAATTTTTTAAGATAACTACTAAAAATTTATATAAAAATTTTAACAAGTTGCTCGCGAACTTATCGAGTTGAGTTAGATTTTGCTCTACTTACTCATTAAGGACTCGAGTTGAATCAACCCAAATCAAGTTTTTATCGAACTTTGACGAGTCGAACTTAAGCTGTTCACCAGTTGCCCAACTCATTAATTACCCCTATCACCAACTCAGTATGATCTAATTAAGGGGAAATTTCTGATTGTTTTTGTTCAAAAAATCTTTTTTTGAAAATTTAGAATTTTTATCTATAATTTTAAATTTCATTCATTTTTGATCTATCAAATTTAATATTTGTATAAAATATATTATTATTTATAAGGATTTAATTCGTATACTTTTTAAAATTTCTGAAATTTTCACTTTAATTGACATTGTTTTATGTTAATAAATTAGCTAATTAAACTAATGAAATATGTCATATTTGGTATGAAGGAAATAAATGATTGGTCTAATAATTAATTAGGTTGCAATTTGATCACTTCTATTTTCATATATTTTCTAATCATTGGGAAAGACAATGTATAACTAACGGACTTAATTCAAGTGGTAAGCAGTTTGATATTGTTTATGCAATGTTTCAGGTTTGAGTCTTTGTGTATCTAAAAATTTCCGTTGGGAGACTCACCCACCAAAATCAAATGTGCGATCCGGGTCGGTCTAGATTAATCAGGACAATACCATATAACAAGAGGACAAAAAGAAAAAAAAAACAATGTATATAATTTTCTATGATTGGGTTTGTATATTTAGGAATTTAAAAACAAATGATTGTAGCTATATAAGAAACTTCCAAGTAATCATGTATTAATTTCGTGTGACATTTTTAATTAATCTTCACATGAAAATTTATTTGGCATGTGTTCAATTGGACCATAATCTGTATCGTTTTTCACTGATATGGTCTATTAGTATATTTTGGTGT